AGACTTTTTTCTGGGGGGGGGGGGAAGGGGTTTGGTGAGTATTTTACATGTGTGTATGTGCTTGTGAGCCTGGAATTCATGATGACTTCTGGAGACCCTTAGTGGGGCTAGGACGTTTCAGAGAGGTGGCTTATATTATCTGCTTCTGCGTCCCAGCCCTGGTATCCCTTGAAGGTCACCCTTCCAGGAACTTGCCAGGGCTGACCCTGCCTAGTTTCTGAGATCTGACAAGATCAAGCTTACCTAGGCTATCCCATTCAGGGCTTAATAGGGTTGTTATGAGGATAAAATGGAGAGCACGAGAACAATGTAGCTTTGGGTCCTAATTGGGAAGAAACACTGGGTATGACATTTGTTATGAATCTAGTTTTGCCTATAGTTCACACACACACAAAAGCTGATAGGTACTGCTGTTGGTTCATCAAGTATTGCGACAACCTTTTAAGCAAGTGGAAGATCTGACCATTCAGTATTCAAACTGTTGTCAGCACAGTAATCAGGGGCAGGCCCCTAGAATCTATACAAGCCATCATAATTATGTAAAACAAAATAAGAAGTTTTCCTCCTTCTTTCTAGACGAGCTATGCCTGCCAAAAAGCATCCTTTAAATATTTTCTTAGGTCATTTTGTTAGACTCCCCCATTCTGTTCATAATATTAACAAAGATTTCCTACTATACTTCTATTAAGCATATTTTAAATGCATTAAATACATTCTAAGTTGTCAAGCAGGATCGGGATGAGAAGGAGCTGAGGTAAAGGTTTGAAAATAAAGAGGGGAAATGGAAAAATTAGACAAATGGAGAAATAAATAAATGAGAAACGTGTGGAAAAGAGGGACACCATGTGCCTCTCAATATAGCTATGTACCTAATTTTGTATTTACACTTTTATATATATCTAGTTCACAAAATCTTCATGTCACAATAATTCTTTAGCAAGTAAATCAGTAAGACATCTATTTAGGTTTACTCTTGTAACTTTACCTAGCACAACAATAGGAACAAACTGGGGCATATAACGGTGCTGGATGAAAAGTACTGGGACCATTGGGATTGATTTTGCCAGAAATTAAGAGTTGGGGAATGTTGTTTTATCTTGCTTCAATGCAGTATCTATTAGGCAAGTTTGCTTGAGTCTTGCAGAAAGGTGAATTTAGTGTATAACAAGTGGAGACTCGCAAGAAACTTGCGGGATGATAATGCTAACAACCCAGTGCCTGAACTGGGAGTTCTAACTTCTGTTCCACATGTATAACTACTAAAACAGGTTAATGTTCCATTACCATGTATGTAAACGCCTGAGGAGTGGGCAGATTTATTAGGCGCTAGGGAACTTCCTGGAACAAGACAGACCTTGAAACAAAAGGAAACCAGGCTGCTGTTGATTAATATCAAAAAGGTGGCAGAGCAGCTTTTAAACTAATCCCGGGGGGGGGACCGACAGGAGCTGGGAAGCCTCTAGTCTGGGACAAATCCAAAGGGATGACTGTGTAAACACTCAGGGTAATATTGCTAGGAGCATAACAGAACTTGGGAAGTGAGGGTAGGATGGAGACTGAGGGTCATGTGTGGCAACCAATGGCCTAGGGAGGCGAGAGTTACTGGAGAAGAAAACACTTTATAGGTTCATAGGCCATCCTAGAAGTCTTCAAGCTGGAGTGCTTGGTGCTCAATGACAATTTAGATATAGTAGGTATCTCAGACATGCTGGAACGGGGAAAATCTATGGGATAGTCATTCCTGGGTATAAGCTCTAAAGGCAGGACAGGGAGGGATGGGTTGGTGAAGGCGTTGCATTGTGTGGAATCAAGTAAGTGAGAAAACATCAGGGGAATTAACTCCCCAACATGAGCAGTATGGGTGGAAATTCTGGGCCCTAAGGGTTACTTAAAAATGGGGGCCCACCTGATCAAACCTGAGGCTGATCTTGAGATGGAGAAAGAAATAAGGGAGGTGACTAAAGCAGATAATGTTATTATGCTGTGAGAATTTAACTACTCTCCCACTGACTGGGTAAACATGTGCTCAAGTCACGTTGAACAAATGACATTCGAGTCATCATAAATGATTGTCCACTGGAACAGCTGGTCACAGAGCCAACTAGTAGATCAACTTTCTCCCGTTTGAGTTCCCTAACACTTGAGTGTATTCCATCATGACCTGGAGACTTATTGATTTTATTAATTTCCCAAGTAGGGTTCTGGTCACCTCAATTTGCTTCCGTTCTTCAGATTCCCTTCCTGAAAACAGGGGCTCTGGCATGGGTAGGTGCCCCACACTTTCCACAGAAGCAAAAAAGTAATTGAGCTTCTCTACCATCTCCCCATCTTCCTTTAGCAGTCCCTTTATTCCTTTGTCATCCAAAGGCCCCAGTGCTTCTCTGGCTGGTTTCCTGCTTCAGATTTAAAATGTTTACTGTTTGTCCTGATGCTTTTAGCAACCTGCGCCTCAAAATATCTGTTTGCATGCCTAATTATTGGCTTACATGTCTTTTGCCAGAGCCTGTGGTCAGTGCCTTTTACTGTGCTCTGCCTTCCCTGTTCCCCTAATGGCTGCAGGCAGAGCTGCATTACGAAGAAAATAAATGGAGAGGCATTTGGCTGGATGAAGCACGACACTGGTTTCAGGGGCCCTCCACAGGCGCCTCTTTACTTTTGATAGCTTCCTTGACTTGCGTTGTTAACCACACAGACATTTTAAACTTGGTAGTGTCTTTCCTAACTTGTTGAATGCATTCTGTCCAGGCTTCCTTTAGTGTGGTTTTAAATAGCTTCCCTAATTTTACTCTCATATTTCCTTTTTAGCTTCTTTTTAAGTATTCTCATTTTTGTAAAGTTCCTTTTTTTGAAATCAAATGTTACAATTTTAGACTTTAGGAATAACTTTCCATTGACCTGAATGCTGAACTTAATAGCATTGTGGTCACTATTCCCAACTGGTGCAACAACCTCTACATCACTCACCAGGTCTTGAGATCCATTCAGAACCAAGTCCAAGATCACTACACCTCTAGTTGGCTCTGTGACCAGCAGTGGACAGTCATTTAGGATGACTCGAATGTCATTTGTTCAACGTGACTTGAGCACATGTTTACCCAGCCATTTAATTACAAAACCCCCAAAGAGATATTCATAGATCCGATGTCATCACAACAAGATTTTCCCTCACTGTAAAAGAAATCAAGCGGCAGGAGCCGTCTGAGCAGTAACCCCCCCCCCCCTTAAAACTGCAGCAGTAGGAACTGCTGTGTGGGAATGTATGTTACATTGCCCTACGTTTTGCCAACTGCTTTCTATAGGGTTCAGTCCAGAGGATAATTCCTGTTTCATTATTTTAGCTTCTTTCAGTTGGATTCCATGTCGTATGAGCACAGCTGCACTGGCAGGACAGAAGTTTCCTGCTTTCCCCTTTCCTGCTGCAGCCTGCTTTCCCCTCCAAAATCATGCTTGGCCGGACAGATGGGCCCTCAAGAATACTGTGAGGCATACATAGGGCCTGGCAAAAACCTCTTACATGAGCAGAAGTTTTGCTTGCACAGCATAGGACACGACCCTTTCCCTATTATATAGATATAACATTATAGAAAGATGGGATTATAGAAACCGCAATTCTTATGTCTTACATGACGGAAGGGGGTGGACAGAGGAAAACTTGAGAACCCACCCAGGGATAGAAATAATTGTTTACTGAACTGTACAAGTTTAGCTGCATTTGTTTTAACTCTTCATCATAACTTGTTTTCTGGGCTTAAACATCTGGATTCATGGCTCACCCAAATCATGTTTTACTGCACAGAGGCCCAATGCAATAAGAATAACCCAGAAGGGTTTGGTTAACGTAAAGTAGCCTGTTCCTCTGTTTGCTTAGAACACTGAGCCACTGAATATTTTAATTATGGAAAACTGAACAAATCCAGGTTAAATAAAACACCTATCCAATTATTTATAAGTACCATTAATAATTCTGGTTTCTCAGGCCCACCACACCATTACAATACACAGAAGAAGCCTTTCTCACTTTGACTCTTTCACAACTGGCACTAAACACATCAGTCACACTATTTATATACTGTTCAGAACACTTCTTTACATTGTGCGGTTTACTCAAAGTTATTACTGTCTGACATTTATATGTTTCAGATTAAGTACCCTGCAGAATGTGAGAACAAGATCCAGACTTCAAGTCACAAAGTTGTACTTTAGGGCTTTTGGTACCAACTGTAACAGAAAGGACAAAAAAGCATTAGACAAAAGAGAGGAATCTTTGTGCATTAAAATTCTAGCCAATTAGAAGCATACAGAAGAAAAGTATATTATACTGAATACACTGTGAGTGCCTTCAAACAGATGTATCATATAGATTTTTCATTCCATACTGCTCTAATAATCAGTGCCTCAAAATACTTGCATTGCCATTCAGTATACTTCCCAGTGTGAATAGATGTCCTTTTTACTTCTGTACCGATTAACACAAAGATGTGCCTGCCAAACGACATATTTCGAGGTGCCAAAAGAAACTGCCTGCAAACCAATTAACTACACAATGCTCAAAACTAAAAGTTCCTAAACTAAACGCCAACTTTGAGACATCCCTAACATAGACAACCAAGAATCTTCTAACAATGCTTCGTTAATACACATTGATGTACTAAAGTATATTTAAAGGATATGTTTTCTGTGTCAGTGTTATACAGTCAATATACTTTTAAGTGACAGAATCACTTCTGCTAAGACAATTTTATGTCTTTAAGTATTAGCTTGTGTGAAGAGTATATTTTGACTTTCAAAGATCTTTAAGGCATGCTAGGAAAAGTGGAAGGAGGAGTCAGGCAAGCCTGGGTACTGTTCCCCACACCCTGGAAGGCTACTTGATACCTGCCCCTCAAATAAGACATATCTTAAATTTACAAAATTATTAGAAATGCCTGGGCATGTTGTAAGTGTGATGGCTGTGTGCTAGTGGTCTTAGAATGAATAAGATATCCAGTTTCCTTTCCTCACCACTTTCCCCCACACATCTCAAGACATTTCCAAAAATTAATGAAACTAGCAACCATAGACGTTGTCAATATTTATCTTTAAGAATACACTGGCACAATGAACAAAAACTGAACTGCTTCTTGCTTACTCTAGAAGATTCAAAGATAGTAGCCCACTCGTGAGCATGTGTTCAGCCTCTGTGGTTAAATATCTTTTGTTTCCCCAAGATAGAGGGTTATGGGCATTAAAGTGGAAGTTGAATGCAAATATATTAAAATCATATTAATTACACATAAAGCATGATATCAGCTCTGGATTAAAGTATAATGCAATCCCACTTCTAAATAAACCGCTTACACATTTACAAAATAAAAAATAAAAAATGAAGACACTCATTTTGAAGAAGTACCACCTTGAAAAGTGTCTTTAAAATATATATATACAAACCTGCAATTAAGCAATGCTTTGTAGCAACAGGAGACATGTGATGACTGTATACTGTTCCCTCAAAATTAAACTCATCTGCAGGCTGTAAATAGAAAGACTATTTATTATGCTTCCACCCTGATCCAAATCATAACGATTTAAAGCTTTATTCTGCAATTGAGCCCCCATTTAAAAAATGGTATACACAGCCAGCATGACAGCAACTGTAAAACCTCAATCCTGAAAATACTATCAAAATGTATATGGGAAAACATTTGTTTTTACAAATGTTTTACAGGTAGAAACCTCAACACATAGTTGTACTGTAACAATTATTCTAGTCTTATTAGCAAAGAAAGAGAAACAAAATAGTAAGGGGTAGATAGCAGGGGACATAAAGATAACTTTCCACGAGAGTAGCTTATGTTAAAGGATTCACCATTTGACAAGCATAAAAAGATAGCAACAGGATAGTAAGCAGAAGAATAAATGGAGCCTCCTTGGGATACTAATGGATTAGGCTAAATTTAACTTTCTCCAGATGGAAGCAGCCAGTATTGAGAAAAGTTGTATTTGCTTACAGAGGCACAAAGTGGATCAGCGTATCAGTAAACTATCTCCAGCTCTGTAGCACTATAGAGTAATTATTGAAGGGATAAACTGTAGGAACAGTAAGATCACATGTATACTTGTATGTGTCTATTTCAGCACTAGCTTGTAGAGATATAAGATCATACCTTTGAAACCCATCTTAAGCTGTTCTCCATACCACCCCCTTCTCAGATATCCTAGGTTCACAGCCTACTTAGTAGAAGAAGAGAAGAAGAGGAAAAGATTGGATTTAGACCCCGCCCTTCACTACCCAAGGGAGTCTCAGAGCGGCTTACAAACTCCTTTCCCTTCCCACCACAGACACCCTGTGAGGTAGGTGGGACTGAGAGAACTCTGACAGAAACTGCTGTGCCAGAACTATGGCTTGCCCAAGGTCATCCAGCAGGTGCAAGTGGAGGAGTGGGGAATCAACCCCGGTTCTCCCAGATTAGAGTCCGTGCACCTAACCACTACACCAAACATAGCCTTACCATCCTTTTGGAACTGGCCTGGGAAGGAATTCTTGACTACTGCCTGCTTGCACTCATTTATTCATACGATTTGTTGGTTGCTTTTCATATTTGGCCAGACCTCTACTAGTCATATCCTGATTCTGAATCCATTCCTGGAACCTGCTACTTGTGTGATTGCTCTCTAGGAAGCTCTGCAGCAGACAGGTCGTACCATACAGCTGCAACAGAAAGCGTGTACTAGAATGCAATCAATTTTGCTTTAATTATTAAACCTGGGCATAAGAACAGAAGAGACGCCAATGTTGGATCAGACCAAAGGCCCATCCAGTCCAACACTGTGTGTCACACAGTGGCCAGAAATACCAGTGCCATCAGGAGGTCCACCAGTGGGGCCAAGACATTAGAAGCCCTCCCACTGTTGACCCCCCCAAGCACCAAGAAGACAGAGCATCCCTTGCCCCAGAGCCCCTATCTATACCTTGTGGCTAATAGCCACTGATGGACCTCTGCTCCATATGCTTATCTACTTCCCTTTTGAAGCCGTCCATGCTTGTAGCTTGTATGAAGCTCATTGGGCAACCCCGGGCCAGTCACTCAGCCTATCTCCCTCACAAGGTTGGTTATCTGGGTAAAACCAAGGATTTGGGGGGGGGGGCATCTAGCCACCCTGAGCCTGCTTCGAGGGGGAAGGCGGGGTATAAATTGAATAAATAAATAAATAAATTAGGAGGAAGGGCAGGATAAAACAGCAATAACATTATTAAAATAATTATGAATGATAATCAAAATGCTTAACATAATTCACATTGAGACCGACAGGAATGTTTTGCTTTCTATATTCTAGAAGTGCAGCACCTCCCATGGCGAGAACTCCGTAATTAAACCAATCACTTACTTGTAATGTATTTGTATCCCATACTTTCAGTGTTTTATCAAATGAACTTGAGGTAAACATGCCAGTGTCATGAGGATACCACTGCACTGTCTCCACGCTGAATTTATGCACGTCAGGATGGCTTCTACAACGCAATAACAGAAAGATGACATTTAGACTGGCAGCTTTTTGTCACAACTATACACCAGCCTGCGAGGGTATACCGTTTTTAAGGGCCACGGTCCTCAGAAGCAAACATGTACAGGAAAAGTGTGGGGGAAGGGGAGAAGACAGAACAAGACTTCCTCCAGTGGTTGTTGAACTAGGGGGTAAAGTCTAGGGGGGGAAAGGGCTCAACAAATATGAGACCCCAGTTTTATCAAAGCATCTTTTTGCTGGGCCCAGCATTTCCAGCAATAATTTTACTCTAATGGCCACTCTTACAAGACGTACAAAGATTATCATTTCTCATCAGAATGTTTCGTTATATGACACAACAATGCATGTGTGTGACGTTCTTGTCATTGCTTGTTTCTATATTAGCTTTATACCATTCAGTGGTGGTGGATGAATTAATTTCTTAGCTAGTTCTATATTGACACGAATACTCAGTTAAATGGAGGCTTTTAAAAAATTGGAATACAGACATTATGAGAAATTAGGTTAGAGTTAGATGTCAATTTTTTGTTGTGATGCCAACAACCAGGGTTACTCAGTATTCAAGTAGATGAAGCACTTTTGTGTGCTTACTTCGGCAGCACATATACTATACAGCACTTTTGTTATACCTTTAATAAAATAATAGAAACTGTAGGGAGTTTAGGAATGAATTCCTATTCAACTCAGCAGTTTTCAAACCCCCCAGAAGAGTCTAGAGACCCACACCCCATTTTTCTCTGTTTTGAAAAATATTGTTCATGGGGAAAGTGTATGACATCAAGCTCATAAATCTTTGCAATGAAAATCTCACTCTTACTTAATTCTACAGTATACAATCTGCCATACTTTAAGTACGCTACTTACTAATAATACCATCATACAAAATGTGCTACACATTAATGTTAGTACTTTTCTGTACCCAATATGTACCCACAGTACATGATCTGCTGTACACATGCTGTAAAGCACAGTGCTTGTGAACCACAAACAATGGACACTCAATTGTCCAAAGTGCCAGAATCCCCAATATTTGGGCAGAATTCAAACTATTTGCCCCATTGTCCCATTTACCAAGCCTCCTTTGAATAACATTCTTTATTTCCCATAACCCTACAGGCCAGATCCCTATATACCCATTACCAACAGCTACCTTGGCTGCCCCATTACCCACAGTCCCTTAGGGTTGCCAACTGTCCCACCCCTTGAAGTGAAGCTTAATGCGTGACAATGGACAGCTGAGCCTGTTTCATGCCAAAGACGATAGGGAACCCTTAGCGTACAAGTAACCCTAGGATTCCACTGAAGTTACTGAGCTGTGCCTATGTTATTTCGGAAATCGGGTTCCATTTTACCAGCCACTGTTGAAGAACATTGAAATGTCTTAATTTATACCCTGGGAGAGACGTATCTGTTTGGAGGTCTATGGAAACTATGTGTGGAATTACAAAGGAGCCTACTGTTGGTTTTGAACACGTTCTTTTTGTAAATAATGCTTGTTATGAGCAATCTGTTTGATACGTGCTTAAAAATTCTATTGGGTTATGACTACTAACCCATCTTTGTACTTTAATGAATGTAATACACGGTTTTGATCATATATAGTTATGAATTGTTGATGGTCTTCCCTTGGTGGGTGTTATTTGAGGCTGTTTCATGACAGGAAGACAAACAGCATCACCAGTAAATTACATCCCATTAAGCTCTATTAAATAGAACATTTTCTTCTCAGGCAGCTGGGAACGCCAGAGTCCCTATAGAAGCCACAACACATTAAACAAAAACATACACATCCGGGTAGATATATTTACATGACAGAAATGAGACTGCCTTAATCAAATCAGACCTCCATTTTAAGACACCTATTTTTGTTTGCCAATAACCACAAAATGGGGTCAGATGAAATTACAGCCTTCTCAGAACAAACATCCCATACCAACCTAAAACCAGTATTCCTGCTACCAAGTCACCTCTCATAATGGACAACTGATCACTGCATATCCAAATTCCAGGTACAAGGCAGTTTTTAAAAAAAGCTTCACCCACTTTTTCCCTTTGAAGATCCTTCAACCCAAATATATGAACACACCTGTACAACCCTATTTAATCCACAAAGCAGGAATATATTCAATGGGCCTGCTTTTAAGGCCCCCACAGGTATCTTTTGGCAAAATCAATCACAGATGAAGACATCTTATACTCATTCTATGTAAGGAAACTGTGGACATGTTAACTCCCTGGGATCATAGCATTCCCAGAGGCCATTGCATAGACTACTCCAATGCTTCCCCTTTCATTTAAACTAGCCCAAATTCATTTATTTATTTATTGCATTTATACCCCGCCCTCCCCGATGGGCTCAGGGTGGCTTACGGGGCAAGGTAAAAACCTTGCCATAATAAAAACATGATATACATAGTAACTTGATGGCCCTGAGAAGCACTGCATGTGCACCTGAGAGAGTTCCGAGAAAAACTGTGACTGGCCCAGGGTCACCCAGCAGGCTTCATGTGGAGGAGTGGGGAATCAAACCCTGTTCTCCAGGTTAGAGTTTAGCACTCTTAACCATTACACCAGCTTAATCCTGACAAGAATGAGACAGAGGTGCTACTGTAAGCAAGTCTGTAGCCTGGGGGTGCTGCTGGACTCAGGCCTCCTGTGGGATAAACAGATGGCAGTGGTAGTCAGGAGCACCTCACACCAGCTTCAGCTGTAGCCTTCCCTGGGTAAAAAGAAGATCTTCCCACTATGGTGCATGCCCTGGTAACATCTAGTTTAGATAACTGCAATGTGCTCTGCACGGGACTGCCCCGGAAGTATACTGGAAAACCACAATCGGTACTGAATGCTGCAGTAAGAGTGCTGCTTTGGCACCAGTTGTAGACACCATATCACTCCAGTTTTGTTCCATCTACAATGGCTTTCTGTTTGCTCCTGGGACCAATTCAAAGTGCTGATATTGACCTTTAAATCCATTTAATGGCTTGGGACCAGCACAGCTAACAAGCAGATACACTATAGTGACTGAGCCTATTTTGAGTAACTGAAACTTAACTACCAACTGACTTGACCGGGATGCTCCAAACTAGCCTGATCTTGTCAGATCTCAGAAGCTAAGCAGGGTCAGCTCTGGTTAGTATTTCGATGGGAGACCGCCAAAGAAGTCCAGGGGCACCATGCAGAGGCAGGCAATGGCAAACCACCTCTGAAGCCTACTGTTCTGAAAACACTACAGGAGTCACCGTAAGTCAGCTGTGACCTGGCAGCACTTTCCAGCACCTCCAACTATTATTCTATTGAAGAAAAAAACTTTTATGCAACTATTTTTCCCCCTCTTTGACAGCAATAACTTAAATAATTCACTAATCTTGATTCTGGATGAGTATCATACCAGAAAGCTATCGTTTCTACTTACACAGCGAGAGATTAAAATGGGGAATTCACTACCAGAGGATGATGGTGGTGATGGTCACAGGCACGGACAGCTTTAAAAGGGGACTGGATAGATTCACGCAGGATAGGTCTATCACTGGACTACTAGCTGCGGTGACTAAAGGGAACTCCCACATTTGGAGGCAGTAAACCTCTGAATACCAGTGCCAGGAGATAACAGGGGACAGCCTCAGCCTCTATGCCCTGTTGTTGGACCTCCAGAGGAACTGGTTGGCAACTGTGTGAGACAGGACGCTGGACTCGATGGACCACTGGTCTGATCCAGGGTGGCTTTTCTCATTTTTGTGTTAGAAAAGTATCATATATTCACTTCCAAAAGCCACAGCATCACACCCTCCACATCAAAAACAACACTGTTTACTGGGCTTGATACGGAGAACCTGGAGAAGCATTCTGTTTGTTGAGCAGGGCTCTTTCACGTCCCCTCTGCAATCCCCTACAAAGCTGTTTCTGAGATCTGGGTATCATGGGAACCGAGTATGATGTAACATGAAAGGCTACTGGTGGAAGGAGGAAAACCAGTATGAACTGCAATTTCCACTCTCCTCTATGCACGAGCCAAAATGCCTTCTGTTTGTGCCAGAAGCCCTTTGGAGACAACCCAAAGAAAATGTACCATGAAAATTAGATGATGCCAATTTTAATCTAAATTAAATGTTGGGGATCATTGTCAGTGACAATGCTGCAAAGATCAAGATATGTAACTGTTTTAGCCTACCTGTAGCAATAGAAGAGAGCAGGAGTTCAGCAGCACCTTAAAGACTAACAAAATTGGTGGCAGGGAAGGAGCTTTTGTGTGTCACTGCTCACTTTCTCAGATTCTTCAGGTATCTTGCTCTCTTCTAATGTCGCAAAGGTAAATCAAACATGTATAGAAGAGTCTGAACGTACTAATAAAACAACACATATGCAGCTCACATTCTGCTGTGAAATCTCATGGCCTGTCTTAATACTACTGCAATACTAGCATAAGGATATTAATTTTATCTTAACCCTGACTTTGGTATGCATACAGAAGTCTACAGTGACCTGAGACAGACAGCCTTTAAAGTTTCTTCCCAATGAAATTCACTGGCGTCAGGACACAAACATCACATTTGACCAAAACGAACACACATCAAAGATGGAAATACGAGTGCATGTGGCTTTTAAAGTGATTATTTTGTTCAAAGCATTATTTCAAGACTGGCTTTTAAAGCAATTATTTTGTTCAAAACATTATTTCAAGATGATCTCCAAGACAAAGTTCTAATTTGCAGGACAACAAAGACACAACAGAGGCACTGTTCCCTTGCTCGAAAGCCAGTCGAATCCGACTCTAGGGTTGCAGTGCTCATCTCCATTTCAAAGCCGAAGAGCCAGCACTGTCTGAAGACGTTTCCGTGGTCATGTGGCCGGCATGACTAAACACCAAGGCGTTGTTACCTTCCCACTGAAGTGGTACCTATTTATCTACTTGTAATTTCTTGCTTTCGAACTGCTAGGTTGGCAGGAGCTGGAACTAGAGACGGGAGCTCACTCCGTCATGCGGCACACTCAGGTCTCGAACTGCTGAACTACCGACCTTCCACAGCCTGCAGTTCAGCGTCTTAACCACTTGAGCCACCGCAGCTCCTAAGAGGCACTTTAGAGATTAACAAAATTGAAGGATAAACTTTCTAAGCCAGAGCTCATGTCACTGGTTGCTTACTCTGTGCAACTGAAGCAGCAACAGATGGGTGGATTTGGGGCGATGTTATAAGAGGCCAGTTTGAAACAATCAATAAAAAGAAAAAACAATTAATAGTACGTTTTTGAAGACTACTCCTAACTGCAACTGAAGCAGCAACAGATGGGTGGATGTGGGGTGATGTTATAAGAAGAGGCCAGTTTGAAACAATCAATAAAAAGAAAAAACAATTAATAGCGAGTTTTTGAGGACTACTCCTAACTTTAGAAGACAGGCAGGTAGGAAGAATAGAAAATCCAAACAAGGAAGATACAGTGTAAAATATGAAAAGCAGTGTTCCCTCTAAGCTGAGTTAGTGTGAGCTAGCTCACAGTTTTTTAGCCTCCGGCGCACACGTTTTTGTCTTAGCTCAGGAAGGATGGCTCCAGAGCCAACCAACTATCTCACTCATAATGCCAGTAGCTCACAAAGTAGAATTTTTGCTCACAAGACTCCACAGCTTAAAGGGAGCGTTGATGATAAGCAGTACATATGTAAAGGATGGGCCATATTGAGCTATGAACACCTACAGATAACAATAAATGTCTTGGTGAACTCTAGCTCAGCAAAGTCATCAGCTGGAGTCATTTATCTCCCAGGACAGTATTTTCTAGAAGACAAAAATGTTCCCTGACTGGTTTCTCAATCTTCCCGTTTTTAATGTCAGGTATGTATCCATTTGTTCTTTTGTGTAAGAACTGTCCAACACTCTTCTGCCTATTTAAGGTGAAGACTTGGATCTCCTCAGTAGACTGGAGTTGGCTTTGTCATATGATCTAACAACATGGGCTTTGTCATATGATCTAACATTCATGAAAGCTTGTGCTAGAATAAAATGTGCCACTCTTTAAGGTGTTACAAGATTCCTGTTATTACAGCCTCAACTGCAGAAGTACCACTGTGAACTCATTGCTCCCTTTCGGAGTGTCAGTTCAGCCAAAAACCACAATTCCAGAAACCCCAAGTCATGACTCATCCAGTTATGAAACCTTGTTCTCTGTGTGCCAGTCTTAGGTTGTAAATCTTGTTGACATCCACCATGGAGATATGTTTGCCAGGTTGTAAACAGGAGAGCATGGCTCTCTCTTTAACAGCTCTCCAGCAAAGAATGTTAAACCTTATCCCTCCCCACACATCTCTTTGCCTCTGCCTTTCCATAGCCAATACTACTCTTTTGCTACTCTTTTAAGAACATGAGAAACATTTTGGTGGATTAGTCCAGTCTAGCATTTTATTTGGAAGCCTACAGGAAACCCACCAACAGCAGAAAGAGAATCTTGGTACATCATTGTTCCAAAACAACTGAAGCAAGTGGCCATCGTTCCCTATCACCAATTCATTCTACAGATCAGTTGTGTCTTGCATGAAGTAATTTCTTTTGTCTATCCTGAATCTATTGCCCATCCATCTCATGCTGTTTCACACAAGACAGAGAAGCAGCGATGTGAAAAGTGGAACAATTATGAAGCACGGCAAAGGAAGCCAGGGCTTCATCCTGTTTCAGTACTACAAAGCTGTTAAAGACGTGATCTCTGGGTTGGGTTGCACATTTGCAACCCTAACCACCTGCAGGAGTCTCTTGATCTTCAGAGGACCAATGTCCTAATTTCAGAAATACTGCTACTGACTAAATCTTGTTGGTCAGTGACTCCTGGAGCTATGTCATACTATATGGATTGCTGCCCAGTGACTTCAGACCAACATGGCTGCCTATCTGAATATACGGTTTGCTGTAACAAAATAGTAATTGAAAATACTATACTAATATAGAATTTAAAAAACAGAGTTGTAAGCATTTTATTTATAAAGAATACATACCTGCCGACTGAACAAACTGCCTTACATGTATAGCATGGTTTTCCACTACAGTTTTCAAGGTCGTACAAAACAATAACGCCATCTGAACCACCTGATAACATGCTGTAAGGAAATAAATTACAATCCAACTTAGATGCAGCAGACTGTAAAAAAAGGGAAATTTCAAACCACTTAAGTTAGTCCAAAATTAGTTAGGAAGTATATATACTGTTTGTTTATATAAGCCACATATATACATGAGTTATAAAATAATTTTTGCCATAAAATATAAAATAATATACATACTATCGTCCTTCAACGGGTTCAATATCCAGAGTACTAATACCACTCCCATGGATCCTTTCAACATCTTTATCCTTGTTTAACTCCAAGCTCAACACCCTTAAAAATAAAAAAGTCAAACTATTATGAACAACAACAAACTGAAATATTTTACACAGCACCTCCGGCTGTTAAAAGTGAGCAGGCCCTCCAAAGGGACCCATTGAGCGAATTGTTCTTACACTCTGCTGAAGCCAGGGCTTGACAAATCATAGGTGCCAACTTGCCATGCTACCTCCAAATTTCAGCGCTGTGCCTAGTATTTTCTGCAATTATTGTATTATGGCACCTCTTAGTGGAAGAACAAAGCGTTGGATCTAACCAGCTTTTCCACAGGTGAACAAAAGGAGAAAGGGTTCACCTTTGACAAGAAAGAAAGCTGTGTTTGTTCCTCCTTGGCATGTTGTGACGGAATTGAAAATCTGGGACCAGCAGAATGTTGAGATAGATCCCTGCTGAGTCACATGACATAGAGGGGAGGGGGCCTTTTGGCTGGAGCACTCCCTGAGTGACAGAAAACTGACCTAACGGACAATTTGGAGAAGAGTTGGGAGTTGGTGAGAGGAGTTAACAGGAGTCCGCTAACCGAGCTTTGAGAGAACGCCTGTTAACAGTTGATGTAAAGCACTGTGGCTGAAGAGCAATCTGCACTGATGCCTCTGATATACCGAGGAGGGTAAAAGTATAAGACCTGAGTGGTCACAGACACCAGAAACACTGCTCCACAGGGACTTATAAAGTGGCTGACTAAAGGCTAGAGTGACTGGAGAGAGGAGTCTGGAAGGCTGGTTAGGGGACCAGTTAGACTCAAAGGAGCCAGACAAATAAAGCCAAAAGTTAACCACTGAAGGAGTGACTGGAGAGTGAGATCTGAGGTGTGTTGTGAACATCTAGGTACTGAACTAAGAGTGAAAAGCAGACAACCTAAGCCAAGGCAAAGTGATTTCTTTATTCAACAAAGTATCAGAACATCCTGTGTAAATATATCCCATCCCCCTGTTGAGTTTTCTGTGCAACAATAAAGTAACTGTGCCTGTTGAATGTTACAAGTATTGGTGCCTGACTTTCTGGGGAGCTATATACTGTGCAGTAGTCCTCAAAGAAGACCGCCTGAAATAAACAAACCCTGAAGAGAATATTATACATTGGGGGTGTAGAGGACTGGTCAGGAAAAATAAAATCAGCTCTTACTAGATCCTGACATGCAGACCCTCACATAACTGACTTTATAAAGGGGGTTCATGTCATACATGTGCACAAGGTTTTTCTGGCCCTCATGCCTGCTTCATCTTTTCTGCTTGTGGTGGCTCCTGAATTCCTTATACCAGTATGCCTTCCTCCCACGGATGACCCACTGCCCAGGTAAGTGCTCCTCTCAGGGGTGGGGCACCTTTGGGGCCTAAGCCCTCAATCACACCTCACTCTCCTGGTCCCCCTCCTTTTCCAACCTGACATAGACCCTCAGTTTAGTATGATTGTATCTTGAATATTTATTCCAATATTTTAAACTTTTTATGATTTAGCTTTCTCTCCTATTTTCCCCCTCAAACTATCTAACAAAACTACAATCTTCATTTACTTAAGTTTAGCCTACATTTTAACTGGACAGACCTTCAAATACTTTTATTGTGATATTTTATATCAACCAGAACAGACTTTTCTCCTCTAGACTGTGCAGAGCTCTTACACTACTCCAGTTGCTTCCTTTAGAAAGCTGCCTTTGTGACAACTATCGGGTGGCTTTATTTTGTTCTCAGAAATGGCCTGCATCAGTATTTCAAGAGCTTTCCCACTTGCTCTTCATACTATCCACTTTCATTGCCTTTACCTTCAATACATATATGATTAGAAAGACATTTAAAAGGATACTTAAAACTTACTAGCAACATATTCCTAAAAGTAAGCCATGCTAAATAAAATTGGACTTCTTTCTGAGTATGATTAGGATGTCTTAATAAAAGACTATTAACTCTCTTTCCTATGCTACCCTCACGTTAGCATGCCATAGTTTAATGAAACAATGTGTTCTTTCCATGTACATTTTTCTCTACATGTTTACATTAGAAGACCTGACCTCGTAGAATCTTATACATGCCTACTTAAGAACTAAGTCCTTGAGAATTTCTTCAAAATAGGGCTCAAACTTTATACATACTTATTTGGAAGTAAAATCCCACTCAGTAAACCTAAAAAAAAAATGGCACTAATTTCCCATTACTATTAATAAGATACAGCTGTAACCAGTCCATGTTCAGATGTATCTGAAGAGCAGCTGCCTTCAGTTTTGCTCTTGTTAACAATATACCAGCTTTTATTTCACATAAAGCACTTTAATAAAAGGGTTGGAACACTTTCCCTATGAGGAAAGGTTAAAGCACTTAGGACTCTTTAGCTTGGAGAACCGACGACTGAGGGGTGACATGATTGAGGTTTATAAGATTATGCATGGGATAGAGCAGGTAGAGAAAGAGGTACTTTTCTCCCTTTCTCACAATACAAGGACTCGTGGGCACTCCATGGATAAAAGGAAGTACTTCTTCACCCAAAGAGTGATTAACACATGGAATTCACTGCCACAGGAAGTGTGGCAGCTACAAGCATGGATGGCTTCAAAAGGGAATTAGATAAGCATATGGAGCAGAGGTCCATCAGTGGCTATTAGCCACAAGGTATAGATAGGGCCTCTGGGGCAAGTGATGCTCTGTCTTCTTGGTGCTTGGGGGGGGGGTCAACAGTGGGAGGGCTTCTAATGTCCTGGCCCCACTGGTGGACCTCCTGATGGCACCTGGTATTTCTGGCCACTGTGTGACAGTGTTAGACTGGATGGGCCTTTGGCCTGATCCAACATTGGCGTCCTTATGTTCTTAACGTCCTGGCATTCCTCCATGAAATTTGAGTATATACGCAGCAACTATTTTATTTTCATAGCAACCCACTGAGGATATTGCAGACGAAAAGTGATCCAAAAATGCCACACCATGACTTCCAAAACTAAGTGAGCAGAGCTTTAAAGAACTTCTCACTCTCGAACCCAACGTCACGCTGGACCTCAGGGAGTACTAGCCAGAGCACCTCACCTCGGGAGCAACAGATACAAGCGGACTCAGCACCAAGACGTTGGACTGTCAGGCAAAACCATTACCCCGCGAGCCCAGCGCAGGTTGAAAAGAAATCTAAGCCAGCTTCTACTCATTCCCCACCAAGTCAAAAATCCACTTTACCTCCTGGTAGACTCAGCCCGGCGTAACCTCAACGGGTCGTCAAGACCTGCTTGACGGGCAAAAATATAGCCCAACATGGTGACAAAAACGAAAAACCTGACCAGGCGGCCGCCATGTTCGCAAGCGTCTCAGCGCCAATTGGCTCCGCGAGCGGCTCGCTTAGCGAATGCCCTTTGCTTAGACATCCCACGCGGTCGTCTGACAGAGGCTGGAGACGAAATAACAGAACATGCACGCGCCCAAGCCAGACCCCGCTATTCTTACGACAACTTCCGGTTTAGCCTTTTCCGCTTAGCCTTCCAGCGCAAAGTATAGAGGCCTTTCATCATAGAGATGGCGAGTCCTAGACCGACTCCCAAGTCTTTCACATTTGTCCTGAAGGCGAGCCTTGCATTTCTTTCACTTTTCATCTCGTGAAAGGGAGTGGGAGAGCATGTTAATCAAGGGGGCGTGGCTTCTGCCGCGGGAACGGAAGAAGTGGAGTGCGCTGTTTTTGTCTTGGCAGGGCGCATGAAGGAGATTCGTCCGCAAAGGTGACTGCGCGCTTTCTGTGCGACTGCGGGCAGCATGAACCGTGTCTGGAGGCTTTTGCGTTCCCTGAAGCTCGGGGTTATTGGGCCAGAGAAGCTGCAGGTGGGCGTCGACCACTTCGGGAACAAATATTATCGGATCCCGAAACATGAAACTTGGGCAGGTGAGGTTCAGGAGACGGATGGACTGACAGACCGAAACCTCAGTTCTGTTCACGCTACGTTTGCATCTCAGGGCCGTCTCGAGGTTTTATTTAGAAATCATTATTGTTGTTATTATCGTTGTTGCTTTTTATTTGATTTATTAGTGTTAGCTTATTGTCACTATTTCTCAGCGCATTTGTTGACTGAATTTACAAAGTCCACAAGAAAATGTTCAAAGCATACAGCTAAAAACACACTTGAAAAACACACACTCCAGATTAGAGAAACCATTGAAACGGCCAGCAAACCTAATTTTTAAAAGTATACTTTCAAAATAAAAAAAAAATCACAAAGGTTCCCCGGGCTTATTCAAAACTGTAAAGTTGCACCTTAAGAATTTATTTTAACAATTTCTGTACTGGCTCATACCTATAAAGCTCTTGAAAGCGTGTAAGTAGGTGACCACTGAAAACAGTAGAAGCTAATAACTGAGTTGCTGCTTTTTTCAATGTTGGTGTTGCTTAACTTAAAATGACACCAACATTGATAAAAGCAGCAACAATATTTTAAGCAAAAGAAGGTTTTATTTGGCAATTTTATGGACTGCTTTGGTTTATAAAGAAATACACAGTAGGAGATTTCACAAGATAAAACCAATTAATAAAAACATCAAAGTAAAAGACTTAAGGGTTAATTTTTTTAAAAAAAAATCAGAATTGTCAAATGGATAGCACTGTCTTTACCCCATCCCTCAACTACTCCTTATTTATATTGACTGAGAATGTGGCCAGGTTATTCAAAGGAGTTGAGGTGAAAGGAGGGGCCGTAGTTCAGTGGTAGAGCCTCTGCTTGGTATGTAGAAGGTCCCAGGTTCAACCCCCAGCCTCTCCATTTAAAAGGACAATACAGTAGCTGATGTGAAAGACCTGCAGCCTGAGACCCTGGAGAGCCACTGCTAATCTGAGTAGACAATACTGACTTTGATGGACCAAGGGTCTGATTCAGTATAAGGCCGTTTCATGTGTTCATGTGAGTATGCATCAGTAATATCAGGCTGTAAGTGATCCTGTGTTTCAGCCTGATCACACACAGTAGCCCTTGGCTACTTAGGTATTGTTTACAGCTGCCTTATTGTCCCTAGACTTATTTACATTTTTGTACAGTGTTCTCAGATTTTTGATCTATGAGATATAGTTTTTTTCAGGATTAAAATTCAAAGCTTCCACCTTTGGCTAAAAAGATATGTGCATGATTTTTAACCCCTCTGAGAGTCCCTTGGACTGCAAGAAGATCAAATCAGTCAATCCTAAAAGAAATCAACCCTGACTGTTCCCTGGAAGGCCAGATAATGAAACTGAAGCTCAAATACTTTGGCCACCAAATGGGAAGGGAGCACTCACTGGAGAAAACCCTGATGCTGGGAAAGATTGAAGGTCAAAGAAGGCGGGGACGGCAAAGGATGAGATGGTTAGACAGTGTCATAGATGCAACTAACATGAAATTGAGCCAACTTCAGAGGACGGCGGAAGACTGGAAGGCCTGGCGTGATCTGGTCCATGGGGTCGTGAAGAGTTGGACTCGACTGTGCGACTGAACAACAACAAAGAACCTTATTCAAGCAGTCAGAAGACCAGTAAAAATCTTCATGCCCTGAGAAGTTAGAGAGATGGGTCAGTGCTAAGGATAGGCCTTTATATGGTTTGGGAGCACAATTCAGGCATCCTTCCAAGAGGAGTGAATATTTTGTTTAAATATTATTTAAAAGTGTTGTGTGTTTCAGGATCAAACTCTTCAATTTCCTTCATATAATTCAGTGCACCTATCAATAACTGGGCATTTATTGTTTAGTAAGTAAGTATAAAGGTAAAGGTTCCCTTGCTTGAAAGCCAGTCGAATCTGACTCTAGGGTTGCAGTGCTCATTTCCGTTTCAAAGCTGAAGAGCCAGCGCTGTCCGAAGACGTTTCCGTGGTCATGTTGCCAGCATGACTAAACACCAAGGCGCACAGAACGCTGTTACCTTCCCACCGAAGTGGTACCTATTCATCTACTTGCAATGTCGTGCTTTTGAACTGCTAGGTTGGCAGTTGCGGTGACTCAAGTGGTTAAGACGCTGAACTGCAGGCTGTGGAAGGTCGGTAGTTCAGCAGTTCGAGACCTGAGTGTGCCGCATGACGAAGTGAGCTCCCGTCTCTAGTTCCAGCTCCTGCCAACCTATTCGAGAAGCAATGCATATTTCCCCAATCTTTGAGCCAGGAATATAGTTCTATCATTTACTAGATTTTATAGGATCTAGCTGCTAGGACCTTTTAAAAAAATTAAAATAAATTATGCATCTTCTACCTGGAAACTGCATCTGTATCGGGAAGCAAAGTGTAAAAATATTAGTAAATAATGGTGCATACACTTTTCTTGTTGAAAATCCATAATGTTTGAAAAGTATGGGCTACTCTGTGCCTGCTTGTTGGGTTGCTTTTGAAGGACAAGCCTGCTATTGTAAACTAAGGAACCGGATGAAAAGAAGGGCGGATATTTAAGATTAAGGGCTGTGTTTCAAAGTGTGTAGTACCTTCTGCAGTGTCAGAGAATTTTTAAAGATAGGAAGTATGTAACTTTTTTGCCTACCTAATTTTTAAAGTTATTTTTAATGTACAGCAAAAATGAAACGTCATATACCTAGTTGCTTCATGTTTTTGTTGACCCTGCGCTGGAGCGGGAAAAAGAACTGTTTGGTAGTAAAACCAGCAGAGGGAGTACTAGACACTTAAAACTACAGAGTTTGCTCCATCCCTCATAGCTTGTGCTATCCTTTTAAAATTTCTCTTTGAAAGAAATAGTGTTACAGAGGTTTATCTGAAACCAACTTGGGCAATACTTCTCAGACTGGGGAACAGGACAGAGGTATTAGCAGGGGGAGGCATAACAGTTGCGTGGATCTTCAGTTGTGTTAGTTGATTGCATGAGTCTGCCATATACTGAATTGAACACTTTATTTTCTTGATTGATACCCATCCTTCCTTCCCCTCGGGAACCCAAAGCGGCTTACATTCTTCTCTCTTCCATTTTATCCTCGAAACAAAACTGTGAGGTAGGTTAGGCTGATTCAAACCTGAGTCTCACAGATCCCAGTCTGACATTTGGATCACTATAAAACCTGAGTCTCACAAGATCCCAGTCTGACATTTGGATCACTATAACACGCTGGCTCTCAGCCTATCAAGGTCAGTTTTATCTACTTGGACTCACAGGGGATGTTACTGCCCTGAGCCCACTTGTGAGATGGGCAGGCCATACATACGATAGATAAATAAATAAATCTCCAGGATCTCAGGTCCTTCAACATTTTCTTTAGGTGGGGAGACTGGATTTCTCTTGATTTCCTCAGGGCTAATTGTTATTCTGTTACGTTGGTGTTAGACACATACAGAATAAAACTAGTTTATTTCCAGAGACAGATATGTATAGACATAAAAATATAAGCCGGTTTAGAATAAGCTGCAGATTAGAAACTCATTCCAGCTGATTCCCATGACCATCCTGAGTGCTAGAACCTGTATGGTGAAAAGATCAGCCTGCGTTGAGTCTTCACGTGCGCGATGCTGTTGAGAGCTGAGCTCAGCCTGAGTCAGGTTCTCGTTTTATTCATTTTTTCCACCAAATGGGGACCCAGTGGCCTACAGGATTCACTTTCTCCATTTTATCATCATAACAGCCTGTGAGGTAGGTTAGCCTGAGACTGCAACTAGCCTACGGTCGTCCAGCAAGCTTCCATGGCAGATTGGGGATTGACAGCTTTTGGTAGCATATGCTAAAAGCAATCAACACTGTGTTGACACACCATGCACGTGGCTAGTTCAATTCGTGTGAGGTGGGGATGCAGCTGGAAGTTGGAGCAGGCTTCCTTTACCCCTGACGATATGAAGCTGTCTCCACAGAATCGAGCCAAATGGTATTGCATGTACTTATTTGGGTGAAGGACTCAATATCCGCCTGTAAAAGGTGTCCACCACGTGTCTGTTGTTCTTAAAATGTAAGGGTGTATTATTTCTGAGAAACATTTTTACATATTTTTTTAACAAATACTATCCCTACCCACTCCTGAGATATTGATAAAACTCTTATCCTTAAAAGAACAGAAGGAGGCAGCATTGCTTCAGAATATGCTTTTGATGTCTGTTAGTACAGTCCAGCTTCCTCCAGCAAAAGGCATTGATTGGTGGGCCATATGTTCTTGCTTACCTCTCAGTCCTGGAGTAAAAGTTCCATCAATTTTAAGAGGGGAAGTCCCAAAATTCAAGTATATTTCATGTATGCTAGCATTCTGTACATTGATGAAGCAGTGCTTTTCAGAAAAACACTCTGCTTGAAGGTTTACATATTACAGAGTATTTTATTGTGCGGTAATGATGCAGATTCAGACATTTCTGCATCGGAGCAATGTTCTCTCTGATCCGGTCTCCAGCTGAATATCCAAGTGCTTAAGACAGCAACCCTGAATGGCTCTGCTAGACTCCTACTGAGATCTATTTGATAGGACATAATCCCAGGAGAGTGTTTTTAGGATTGTACAGTTTAATGTGAGATTTGCTTGGAGGTGGGGTATAGGAAGTAGAGAATGAACCCATGACTCTTTTCTTAAAGCCAGTCCTTGTGTTTATCATGATTGGCAGAGGTGCTTAAAAAGCTGGGCACATTCTACAAAACGGAGGAACGGTCCATCTCGGACAGTGCCGTCCTAAGAACACTGTCCTAAGAACACTTGAATATATTTGAGTAGGGTTTTGAGTCGACCTGTTTAGGATGGCTCTTCTTGATTATTAATTTACTTTACCCTTGGTCTTCAGCTTGTGGGTTGAACCAGCAACACTACCATCATTTTTGTTCATTCTTTTCTTTTCGTTAAAAGGAGGAAGAGAGACTAATGAAGACTGTTTTGTGATTCTAAAAAATTTAAAGTGGCTCCCGTTTTGTAGGGTGGGTTTAAAGGTGGTCTTGGGTTTGATAAAGGTAAAATGGATGCCA